TCAAACATATGATTTCTACACGATATCAAATCCAAGATCACAAGTTAGCCTTCTGTACAGAATGGACATCAAACAAATAAATACCCTTCTATATACTAAGATCATAAAAATAAAATAAAGAAGATTAATAAGGGACATATGGAGTTAAGAAAAGATCTAACGATAACATGTAATTTAAGAAAAACAAAACAGTCAGCTAAAGAGGGATTAAGATCTAATTTGATGTAATAACATTGTCCTTTTAAGATTGAAACAATTTTTAAACAAAGCAAACCAAGGAAACGATGCAGAGGTCTGTAGCAAGCACTTTCAGATTCGAATGGAAATACGATACTAAAGAAAACAACTAGAACAAATACATTACTACTAAAAGGGAAATAAACCTAAACACTACTACTTAATCTTAAGCAAGATTCAAACAAGAGAAAATGGTAAATAAGAGGTTGAGTCAAGATGGTCACTCCAACAGGCAGCAACATTCAAAACAGGCTAATTAGATCACTGATTTGCAGTAAAAAACAAGTCAAAACAATTTGAAAATTTCAACATTTGAATGCCTCATACGATAAAATCAAACGACCAGCACATCATGAAGCCAAAGACACGAACATAAATAACTATTACCTTTTGGGGTGTAGCATTTTGGGACAAGACGGACTGGAGAAGATGAGCTTCCACCACCACACAAACTTGAATACGAATAACAAACAGGGAACCTGGGTAGAATCCGAATAGCTACCTCGAGTTCAAATGACCTTGAGAGGACGATGGACGACACCAAAAAAAGAAACAAAACCAAGTTCCTAAACGAGTCAACTTCTCTATTTTGGAGTGTATTTCAAGTATATTCACTCTCTATCTCTTGCTAAACCGCTACTTCCTATTTGTGAAACCTTGCCAACTTTTTCAATTTTTCCTCTTATTTCTTTCTGTTCCTCTACTAGCCAAAAAAAAACCCCATCTAAATAATGAAGAAGAAGATGCTTAAATAGAGGAGATGAAGGTACGAAAAGAGGGGGAAAACTGATTGAATTTGGAAGGGATTTTTGAATTTGAAATTCGAATCCCTTTGAAAGGATAAGGTTGGGACGGCTGGCATAGTACTAAATTTTACCAATCCCGCAACAAATTGCAACGGGCAAGTAACGGGAGCCATTCGATCTTGGCGCTAGGACGAGTGAACCGTGGAGATTGTTCCACCTGGCCTGATCGCTTACAGCAGACGAGAACAAAGGCTACTTTTGCTGGAAATTTCGTACGAGATTAGAGGAAGACGACAATGGCAAAGAAGCGTACCATTGTACTGGGCACGCCTCTTGTCACACCGTGAATTTCTCCGTCAAAGAACGTGACTGAAGTTGCTGTTCGGATTGTCGTTTCTGGGCGTCGTTCTTCTTCTGTGAACGTTGCTTCTAGTAACGTCAATGCTGTAAAGAATTGGGTCTTGTGTTGAATGAGGAAATAGGCCAGGTCTGGAGTTATTTGGGTGGGCTGGATTGGAGAGGTTGGAATTGACTAAAAGGACTTGGGTCACTGATTGACTAGTATTGGGCTGCTGAAAGGTGGCCCAAAATTCTTGGTCTTATAAATTGGGTTGAAAATAAGGTGAGGAAAAGGCTACAATTGTAAATAAAATTGAAGTGTCAATTATAGTCAAATCGAACTAATTTGTGAATCCAACTAAAATCAAAATAAGATGAAGTAACATAATTAATTTATGAGCTTCTCAATCTTAACGAAATAAAATAATTAATTTGAACTATACAATCACTGATTTTAAAGATTAACAATAATTTAAGCCAAACTAAATTAATAAATTATTTAACTAAAAATGTAAAATCTTTTGAGATGATTTTCAAATATTTATAAAGTATACTGGTTATATAAAACTATATAAATGTATTTATTATTCAAAATACTATAAAAAGCGACTGGAATTACTTAAAATAACCTTGAAACTATTTTGAATTATATAAAACTAATTATTCTAAATCGTTTGAAAATTTAAGAAGCTCAGAAATTAATTACTATCGGGAGGGTCAAAATTGGGTGTCAACACACGTTGTGTGTTTAAGTGCGAAAAGACAGTGCAAGCTTTGTTATGTCGAAACCTAAATGTTAAGTCAACAACACTTTCAAGTACCACTTCAGACTATCACATCCGCCTTCAGGACGATATACCCATAAAGATACACGTCTTAGTGGGGAAAAGATTTTGCCCCCAATGTAGATAAATAACATAAAAGTAGAATTCATTCGAGAGAGCTTGGTGGTCTTATGAATGGTTCGTGAATGCACTAAATTAGATTAATGCTTTAATAGGTGAAAAGTTCTTGAGTGTTGTTTCTTTTGAATATTTAATGTTCTTTAGTACATTAATGGTCTCTTGGTTAATATAATGTCCGTTTTGGTGTGGTTTGTTTGGATTTCACCTCATTCGATCCCTCTCAATGTGTTGTCCATTATGGATTCTTACAAATATTTTCTACATTTACATAATGAAATATGTAACCAAGAATGCAGTTGTGATTAAAATCATAGGTCGTACCAAATACAGAGGGCATGATTCAGGTTAGAGTTAAGTTTCATGATGATCATAATATATTTATCATAAGAAATGTCAAGGGACTAGTCAGAGAGGGAGCCCATGGGTTTGCGTTGAGCATATAACTATGAATGCTTGATATTGACTAGGATTTATTTCAAATGTAATAGTCTTCAATTTTCTTTGCTTATAAACTCATAAATTTGGACATGCCAATTTTGAGATTTCAACCATGATTCGAGTAATTTTGGTTCACTTCAAAGTTTTTGGAATTATTTATGATAATATTTTGGTGTGTGCTGAAATAGTCATCCAACTATCATGTTGATTCTTTTCTCCCGTCTTCATTTTATGTGGTTTTGGTTGTATTAGTTCTTTTCAAAATCTGTTATGTGTTAATTTTCGGTTGCCTTAAGCAAATATTCAAGCTGTTTGGTTTCAGTAAAGAGAGCTTTTCTAAATATCATTGAATCAAATCAATATTTACCTTTATTGATTGTCATATTTTCTTAATCCTAAAGCTTGCAACTTGCTTAGAGTTTGTTTTAGAGAAACAATTTAGTTTCAAGTCTCCTGATCAATTTAAACCATATATCTCTAGATTCATCCAATCAATTCATTGTGTCAAATTCAAACTTGATTATTCCTCCAATTAAATTATTCAAAGTCAAATATTAAATTTCGAGTTTTTGGATAAAAATAAAAAAGATCTTCCAAAAGTTAATTATTATAAGTTTCACGACAATTTTTTTGGTAGATTTGTCAAAAAATGATCCATTAATTTATAATTCAGTATGTATTGAAAAAATGACGTACATGTATAATGTGTAAGATGTACAATCAATATATAACTATGTTTACTTTTTCAAACAAATACGCAGTTAATTTGATTGACTACTTTCGACTTTCTATCAAAGATGTTTCTTGAGCAAACAATACAAATCCCAGTCTAATTACGTGTCTTCACCTTAGTTTATCTAGTGTAATTCACATTTATGATACACAATATGTGTGTATGTATTTGGGCCTGAAAACACAGTTGGATCCAAGATATAAAGAGCTGAAAGCCCAATATTTACTGGGCCGAGCTCTATCCCCTCAACCACGTAACCATACTTATAAGGTTTTTAGGGTTTAATCATTCTCCATTCTCTGATACACAGCAGCAGCATACAGCAGCAGATTTTTCTCACCGGAAGGTAAGCCGCTCTCGCCATCGAATCTCTCTCTATAATTTCCTTGAAAACACGTCAGGTTTTTCAATGTTCTGTAACGGATTTTTTCTTAATCAATTGTTTTTGCTCTAATTCTATAATAGGATTCAATTTTTTAGCTCAACTTAGAGTTGTGTTGATTGATTTAATTATTGATGCATTGGAAACTCCTGATTTGTTATTGTTGTTTGAATTCAATGTTGCCTGGAGATAAAAATAGGTGTTGTAAAACAAGTACTACTTTATTTTTGTACAAAGTTAATATTTGGATCAATCGAAGAAGGGATAAATGTGTATCAACGGCATTTTTTTTATTTTATTTTTTTTGTTAAAAAGTGAAGTCTTGCCTTTTCGATTGCAACTATGAGGTTCCCGGTTAAGTATAGATGAATGGATGTAGGCCTTTTCTTGTATGTAAGTAAAGTTGAGCTCGGGTCAGCTGAACAATGTTAGATGAGGTAAAGAGAGAGTCATCAACGGTCTTATGTTTACAGGAATTATGAGGTAGTGCAGATGTGTTTCCTAGTTAACCTGTGAACTAACAAATAAGAGTCGAACAATATAATATTGAGTTATTATCACTGATTAGTTGAAACTCGGTCAATTTCTAAGATCCGTGTAGTATTTGAAGCTCATACTGCCATTAATTACATTTATGGTTTGCACACTACATTATTACAAGTAATCACCTTATGAAAAAAAATGCATTTTTGCATACACAAATTGTTCACATCAAACTGATCATATGAGGAATTGATCATTAGAAAAAGGAGCCTACAGTACAAAGAGACATTAACTTGTGGAATTAATGCTCTCCTCGGGCTTATTCCGGTTATCTAAGTTCCTTTGGTTAGAAAAGATATGTGAACCTACAATAATGGAAGCTGCTAAGGTACTGCGTAGTGTTTGTCTAGTTAACTCCAATGCATATTTTCTGTTACTGGCATATGCTCTATGTCTTATTGCTGTAGCATTAGTGATTAAACAGTGTGATGGATAGTCGAATTTTGTGAAGTAACCAAGTCCCACACCTGTTGTCTTGGGGGTGTAATTGGTGCATAGATGTTATGAATGCACTAAATTAGATCATGCATCTGCTGCTGATCAAGCATTAATATGTAAAAGTGTTGCAGTGTTGTTTTGTTTGAATATTGACTGTTGTTTAGAGTATTATTTGGTTTTTGTGTGGTTTGTTTGGCTTCTTCCTGCTGCTTTTTCATTTGATTCCTTCAATTGTGTTATCCATTATGGCTACTTACAAATATATAGTCTGCATTTGCAGAATGGAATCTGTAACCAAGCATGCAATTGTGATTAAAATCATAGGTCGTACTGGATCTAGGGGGCAGGTGACTCAGGTTAGAGTCAAGTTTCTTGACGACCAGAACAGGGTTATCATGAGAAATGTCAAGGGACCAGTCAGAGAGGGTGATGTTCTCACATTGTTGGAGTCTGAGAGGGAGGCCAGGAGATTGCGCTGAGCCCATAATTTTGATTGCCATATCGAAATTTCCTTGAGTACTTGATTATTGACTGGGCTTTATTCCCTAGTTAATAGTCTTTGGTTTTGTTTGCTTAGACTCTTTAAGTTTGGATATGTTGATTTTGGTGCACTTTATGTTTCTGGAATTGTTTTTATGTTAAAATTTTGCTAGCATTGCGTCAATGGCAACGAGTAATGGTTCTTATTTGTTTTCGTGTTTGCTGGATGGACGTCCATCTATCATGTTGAATCTTTTTCCAGTGTTCCTTATGTGTGATATTGGTGCTTTTCAGAGGCAATGGTTTTATTAGAATTCAAAATGGTTATTACCCAATAAAAAGAACATATTTTGATGTTACAATGCCTTCAAATTTAATGCTTTTAGATGCATAAACTCAATATTTGTTTATTTTTATTCTCTACTCTATATATATACTAGATATGGGACCCCGTGCTAGCACGGGGCCCAATATATGTTACTGTTTATGTTTCAATTTATGTGGTACATATGAACTTTGAAGTTAATCAATTTTTTAGTATGTTTTTATATATTTTAAGTTGCTAATTATTTTTATTTAGAGTATGTTTTACGTAAATATATTATAAATAACAATAATTAATAAGTTAATATAAAAAGAAACTTATAAAAAATTCATTGACTTTTGAAATTTCATTTGTATCACATAAATCAGGACAAAGCGAGTAATATATATGAAAATTATATAAAACGTACTATAACTCACAATAATTAGCAACTTAAAATATCTATATATCTATATTTCTCCCAATTTATGTGGTATAGATGAAATTTTAAAAGTTAACAAAAACTTTTTATATGTTTTCAAATATTTTAAGCTATATTATATTATGATTTATAATACTTTTTACATAAAAAATTTATTTATATAAAGTATAAAATAAAAAATTTAAAAATGAAAACATAAATGTCAGCATGAGTCCAATCTATGTTAATTTCTATGTTTTAATTATTGTAATACCGATTGAATTTGGAGAGCCAACTAAATTTTTTTAAAGGATTTTTTTTATAAATTTTAAGTTGTTAATTATTATAATTTATAATATTTTATTTATTTTAAACCAATATATGTTTCTCTCTGTCTCAATTACATGACACATATGAAATTTGGAGAGTCAACTAAAATTTTAAAATATGTTAAGTTGTTAATTATTATACCTTATAGTACTATTACGTCATTTTCAAATAAAATATGTAATTTTTTAATTTCAATTTATGTGTCATTGATATAATTACATATATTAAGTAATAAAGAATTAATGTCTAAATTATGTGACACCTATGAATTTTGGAGTGTAAATCAAATTAGTTATATGATTTTAAAAAAATAAAGCGATTAATTATTACAATTTATAATACTTTATATATATATTTTAAATGATATATATATATCTTTATGATATTGATATTAGTATTATAATAAATTAAATTTTATTATTTTTAAATTTATGATCTCAGTTGTCAGCCTATGCCACATTATAAAATGTTCCAAAGTAGATATCAGATTTACAAAAATGTCGATGCCAGCTAAAGTAATAAAATAACATCTAAGGGCATGAACCTATATATATATATATATATACATATAAAGCTGAATATAGACAATATGATGTGGCACCTCTCTATGGCCAACATTTCTATTCATTTTTTTTTCTCCTTTTTTTGACATTTTATCTTTGTTTTGTATTTTTTATTTGTATTGTAAAAAAAAAAAACTGAAAGTATTTATGTCATACCTAATTAATTATGCCCTTTATAACATCCATTACATTAATATAGATTTAAGTAAATGGAAATGGAAGATGAAAAGATAAAAACTATTAATTTTTCATAACTATTTATAATTATTTAGCCTATAAAATAAAAGAAAAATAGTTGAACATTTGTAACAAATAAGAACAAATTTCTTCACTTTGGCTCTTCTTCTTCTGACGACGATGATGAATATATGGTATCAACTTATGTCGCTAAGATGTCCATCAAATTTCTAGGTCATGTGACTTTTTTAACAAAAGAGAAAGAGAGAATATCTTATGATTCTTGTGAAGACATTAATGTAAAGAAAGAAATCATGTAACAAAAAGTTTTTCCTCAAAATAAAAGACTTTTTGAAAAAATATTTATTTCTCCTACAAGGAGAGAAAATTCATTGTGGTTGAGAAATTTATAAGAAGGCAGATTAGTGTTTCAAAGGGTAAGAAAAATTATTTGGAGAAAAAATCATTCTATTTATGGAATTCTTATCAAATTAGGAGGACAACAAGCAAAAATTTATTTTGTGATTTGAAAAGAGAGAAAATTAGATATTATTTCTTTCAACCTCATTATTCTTCTAATTTCTTTCTTCTTTTATTTTGCGTTGATTTTTTGTATCTTTAATTAAATTTTTTTTGTTATTTATCTTTAACTAAAGTTTATATATATTTTCTTAAAAAAGAATTTAAAAAGATGATCATATTTAGTTCCTTTCCTCATAAATGCTATTAATCTCATAATTAGTGTTATTTATATTATTTTCTTAATTTTTTTTTTTCTTTATTTAATTATTTATTTGAAGAAATTAGTTATTATAACTTTATAAGAATTACACATGTATTTTTACATAATTGATTTGTTATTTTTAAATTTTTTGGACCATTCTTCATCTTAAAGTTTCTATCTATATGTAACAATAAAGCTAAAATAGAAAATGTGGGGTGACACCTTCTTAGCAATAAATATTTATTTATTCTTATCAATGTTTCTGACATTTTTTGTTATTTTTTCCTTCAAATAATTGTTGCCTCGATTTTTAGTTTTAGTTTTATTTTTTTTAGCATTTTCTAATTTTAAAAGACTGAAAAATTCATATTGAAAATTTATAAAATATAAAAAATGATTTATTTAACTCCTATCATCATCAAAATTATTATTAATTTATTTTACTTCTTTCCTTTATCTTCATTTCATCATTAATGTAATTTATATCATTTTCTTATATATATATATATATATATATATATATATATATATATATATATATATTATTTTTTTTATTTTTTTTTAATATTTTATTTTTTTTGTTTGTGACATTTCTTAGAAGTTAGGATTACTATTTATTTAATTTTTTTAAAAATTGAATTCTTTTGTCATACTAAATACAACATGTTTTATTATAATTACATTCAATATATTAATCAATATGTTGTATGAATAAAAAGAAAATTATCATTTCACAAAACAAAGGTTAAAATATAATTTATTATGATTAAGGAAAGATAAAAATATTATTCCAATATCCATAACCATATTTAATACATTAAAAATTAATTGAAAAGTTGTAAATGGAAAAGGAATCACCATTTAAGGAATCATTATTTTTAAATTTTTGGATCATTTCTTCTTCTAAAAGTTTCTATCCATATGTAACAATAAAGTTAAAATAGAAAATGTAGTGACACCATTCTTAGTAATAGATACTTATTTATTCTTATCAATTTTTTCTGACAATTTTGATTATATTTTTCTTTAAAATAATTATTGCCTCGATTTTTATTTTTATTTTTAACATTTATTTTTAATTTTAAAAGATTGGAAATTTTATGTTAAAAATTTAAATAATAGAAAAATGATTTATTTAACTTTTATCATCATCAATACTACTACTTTATTTGACGTTTTTTCTAAATCTTCATCTCATCAGTAATGTTATTTATATAATTTTGTTAAATCACTTATTTTTTCTTTTTTAACTCTTATATATATAAAAGTTGGATATGTAAATGATGATGTGACATTTCTTAGAAGCTAAGATTACTATTTATCTAATTTCTCAAATTTTTGAGTTCTTTTATCATACTAAATACAATATGTTTTATTATAATTACATTCAATATAGTAAACAATATGTTCTAGGAATTAAAACAAAATTATCATTTCAGAAAAATAAATGTTAAATTATAATTTTATTATGATTCAGGAAAGATAAAGATATTATTTCAATATTCCATAACCGCATTCAATACATTAGAAATTAATTGGATATAACTGTAAATGGAAAATGAATCACCATTTAAGGAAAATAAATGTTTGTAATACCATAATAATTAAGGAGAGAGTAAGATATTATTTTAATATCCTAATTCGGAACTTTTAATCTACTACTCAATTAAAAAGAAAATGCATTTAATAACATAAAAAAGTTATGAGTTTAATATTTTTTCTCATTCTACTAATTCAATTCACTCAAACTTAATTTTAAAGATAAAATAACAACTCCATTTTAATTGTTATCAATATATTTCAAAAAATTATCGTGAAAAGGCTTTTCTTGCACCTTATTTTAATTTTCATATACTATTATTATTTTTTCTGTCATTTTTCAATGATTTTTTATTTCGATTTAAAATTTAATGTTTATTTTTAAAACTCTGATGGTACAAATTAAGGTGGAGTAGAATATAATAAATGATGATTCTTCTACTAAATAAGAAGATATAACAAAATTGAAAGGGTAAAGTTTTTTTTTCAAAAAAATAGATAGGAAATTCTATTAAGGTATTATTACGTCATTATTCAATATATTTTTAATATAAATTTCATTTGCTGATGCATTTGTTTAGTACTCCCTCTGTCCCTAATTACTTGTTCACTTTTCCTTTTATAGTTGTCCCTAATTACTTGTCCATTTTGACAAATCAAGAAAGAACATTTTTTTTACCTATTATACCCTCAATTAAATCACTAATTACTTTGAAAATTGCAGAACTTTTCATCTACTTCATAATTAATAGGGGTAAAAACGATAAACTCACTGTGTGATTAATTGATTTCTTAATAAATGTGTCAATTTAAAAGTGAACAAGTAATTAGGGACAGAGGGAGTATTACAGTGTTATTTCACATTACGAGATATTTCTTAGACATTCAAGGAGAATGGTACACCGAAATATATATTATATATTAAAGGATCAACTTCATGCAATGGAAGAATTTGTTATTAGCAAATATATTTTAACTTATTTGATAAAAAATATATTCTTCCTCATTTAATAGATGTAAAATTTGAAAAGCTTTATTTTTTTCACAATCTTCATAGTACTAAAACAAACAATAATATTACGATTAAACAACAGAGTAAATATAAAATTAATCAAAAAAATTTAATTTTTAATGATCGCGCGAAGTGCGACCAAATTCTCTAGTTTAAAACAAAAAGGTAAAATTTAAATGGGTCTACAATAGAATTCCTAGAAATCCAACTTGAAAAATTATGTTAAAAAT